GCGCAGCATCAGAGCAGCGCCGCGCGCGGCGGAACCCAGCGCTGCCCCGGGAGCCCGGCACGCACAGCGGGACCAGGAGCGGCACCGGGACCCCGGCCTTCTCCCCACAGCAACATCCAGGGCTCAGGTAAAGGACAAAAATCAGACTTTGTTTATTAAAAAAATACTTTACAGGAAAAAATTCTATGCATTCCGTTTGACTATTTTACAAAGAAATAGCTTAACATTTGACACTCTTGTACAGTCAGCTACTGAGAAATGCACTGCGTTAGAGGAGTATTCACAGAGGGGTTGTGGAGCTCCACCTGCTTACACAACTTGTTATAAAACCTCTTAAAACACTTGCTAAATGTCAATAAATATACTAAGGCCGCACAAAGCAAACAGTCTTCCAGGCAATTGTACATGTCCTCTGAGGCAAAGACCTTAGATAAATTAAAACCACAGAAAAATCTTAGCTGCCAATCAAAATCAAATTAAATCACAAAAAACAGCAATACAGAAATCTCTTTACATGTTGTACAAAAATTAGAAGCATATGTATTTCTTTAAACACCATTCAAGAGTGCCAATAAGAGACACCTTCTCAACTACATGTGCTATTGCATTCTAAAAACTACTACGTATATTGGTGGAAGGCCAAAATATTGTTGGGGTTTCTAACTGGACCAACATAAGAATATACAGTACAAGCTTTCGGCTGAGAGAGGTCACTTTGGGGATTAAGGACAAATATTCTTCTTTTTTGCACTCCTCAAGCAAACATATGGCTACAAATGCTTGGCATTTCTAAGGAATTATTATTTGGGGGGGGGTTATTACTCAGTTCAGGCCTGTAAAGTGGGAGGAGGTGCCCGATGAAGGACTTGAATTCATGTTCACCATAAAAGCTCTGCTGATCGGCATCAGCTCTTCGAGCCAAACTGTAACATGGAGGAAAACTGACAGTACAGTACAGAGCCCTTAGCTGTATGGCAAGGCCTATACCTATGAAGAACAGGAACTATATATCCCCTGAGAACAGTCACTTCAGCTTCCTGAAAGAGAATATTGTAATGAGATAGGTGTCCTATTTCAAAAATTACTCTAAGGTTGTCAAATCACTGCAGAAATGAGCAGTAGCTTGTCTAAAGGAGAGAGGAACATGAAGCTCATCTTCCATCTTCAGGCTGCGTTTTGCTAGCATGTCCCTAACACCGCTGATCCTTATCCCAAGTGAAACCTGTTCTCAATACCACCACTATTTCCAAGAGAAGCCAAAGCCTGAGTTCCAGCTCAAAGCTGACCACTCTTCACAGAAAGAGCGCTACATTCTTGATCAACTAGCAGTTGTCTTCCCTGGGTATCAACTGTAGACGGCAGCTTTTCTTTTCTTTCTAAGACACATCACAGGGCAGATCCTCAAAAGGAGAAAGGACAATTTACAGTAACTGACCAATGCATTGATATTTATAAACTCTTTTGTGACTATCCAGATTAAAAGTGAGCACTGTTAAAACAGCTTAAGGAGTTTGCCAACATTTGATTATCCCTACATGTAAGTTGTTTTAAGAAATATGAGAAATTTATTTAACAACCATCAATTTAATATTTCATAAGTATTTACTTGGACTTACCAAGAGATTTGTTTTGGCTCAGCAAACACTACATGGTTTGAACTTATTTTATTTTAAAATAGCTGTAACTTATGGAATCAGTATGCCACATGTTACTCACAAAAACAATTGAATCTTTCATATCAAGGTGTTCTAATTCTGCTCTGCAAGTTTCAGTGCAGTTACAGGAATTTTTAAGCTCTGGCTAGAGAGTGTGGTTATGAACTTCACAAGCAGTCCCTCCTGTGTTTCATATCCAAATCCCAGGTGGAGTTTAAAAGCAGTATGTCACTTTGCATTATGCATACCTAAGTTGATAAGGTATTTAAGGTCATAGCTTTTTATAAAGTCTGTTCCTCTCTGCCTCAATCTTACAGAAATAGTCTAGAATAGTATGTGTATCATCCTCCAAGTAATTTGAAGATACAAGGTTTCTACATTTAAATCTGACATTAGATATTAAGTTAGTAACTGAAGTGACTATAAGGAGAGCATGATACAAGTGGTCATCTGCTGCCATCCAAAGAGAAGTCAGCATTTTCTGAGTACTTCAGACACTGTAGTCACAGATTTCACTAAAAGATGCTATAGTTTTAAAAGCAGCATGAGCCACTCAAGTCATCTTCCTTTATTCATTTAAAAACATGCTATTATAATATAGTGTACAGCAGTTTCAAATTGATTCTTTTTTCATTCTATTTCAGGTTCTAAAATTCAATTCAGAGAAGTTGGGTGTGTGGTGGCTCTTAATCTCTCTATTCTGCCTTTAAAGAGATGTGGGCAGAACAATTGTAGGATCTGCAGACTTGTCAATTCCTGAGTGATTGTACACAGTGCTGCTGTTAAAGAACAGTCACCTTACTGATGTCCCTCTAGTGATACAACCAAAGAATAGCACATGTGAGAAGGGAAACTGGCACTTGGAAGACTAGCAGACTTGTCAAAAGGAAAGAACATATTTGTGTAATATGATCTTTGAATATGAACAATGAACTGAAACCCCTATTGCCTGTGAGGAATTTTACTTTGCACAATCCTTAAAGCTATGAAATTCCTCTCAACATAAAAAGTGGAGGGGCAGGAGGGGAAGAGGGGGAGCGGGGAAACGCCAGAGAACAGATGGCTCATTTCTGAACCAAATCTTGAACATCTAGAATTTCTGCTAAGATTAAATTACACCCCTGCATGAATCACATTACTTTTCATCGTAAAAGCTTTCCATTCTAACACCTTATTTACACAGATTACTAAACAAGTCACTACCACTTCAATCTGTAAATTAGTTTTAAATTGAAATATTTCCTAGTCCTCATTTTTGTACCGAAGACAATACATACATACACATAAGGAGTAATATAGGTTCTAACTAATCATTGCAGTATCTTCTGATGATTATTCTTCTATCAGTTTAAAATAGTGACCTCTACACTGAGGTGCTAATATGTATATAAAAGCCTACACAAACAATATTGCACAAAGTAAGATTTATAATAGAGTAACATATTTTAGAGACCCTTATAAAGAGAAGAGTAATAATTGATATTAAAAAGATGCATCCAGAACTAACACAGCATCTTTGCTTTTGTCTATTCTAACGTAGTGTTTCAAATCTTTCCTACCCCAGTGAGGATTAGAACAAATAAAGTTATCATCTGGAGACAACTTCAGTTGCACCAAAACCCAACTTGTACTCTAAATGTGCAGAGGGTGTTAGAGGTGAAGGGACAGGATAGGATTTTTCCTTTTGATGACTGGAAAGGACAGTTATAAATGGGGTGAGTGAAAGTCAAATACAGATTACACATCAACATTCAGAAATATTGCAAGTTTGGTTTTTTTTTGTTTTTTTTTGTTTGTTTTTTTTTAAACTGTTGATAGTTGACACTACATATTTAACATGTGCCATTGATTTTCCACAGTACCTGGGCACTCAAAAGCTACACATGGAAACAGCAGTCCAATGCCATAATACTTTATTGTGAAATAGTAACACAGAACTTCCTAAAATAAGGACAATCTTATTGTATAAGTCAGTCACCAACTCAATGCTATTATATTAAGTGCATCAGTACCAGGGAAAGTGTGGTTCCATTGGACATTTGCTATGACCTGGTCAAAACAAGCTGTCAAGTTGGTTAGTATTTTAAAGCCTTAAAGTGCTCAAAGATAGTTTCCTCCACAAGACTACCAATAGCTTTTCTAATTTTGCCACTAGAATGAAACATGTTCTGGGAAGATGTGTTTTGGAAGCAAAATCCTCACACCAAACAGTATAAACAGTTCTACAGAAAGTGTTAGGTCACTAAATCACCACCTCAGACACTTTCTTCAGTTAATTTTACAACTCACCTTTATAGGACTGTAAGAAATTGAGATCAACTTCTATAACTAATAACTTTTGTATAAACTAGGTTGTCAAGAACAGACATACCAAAAATATTACAAAGCATTGAAAGTGCTGTGCTTCCTGTTTTTCTTAGCAATTAAGATGAGATGGGAAAGTCACTTTGGAAGTCTTCTGCAAAAACATCACTTTATGGTGAAGATTAGAGATAAAGTAAAAGTAGGGAAATAACACTGACCAATGCAGTTCAATCATTTTATGTTCCTGGAGGAATTTCATTTTGACTTTGGGGTGATATTGAATATCTCTTTACTGAAACAGAAAGAAGTGGTAGACCACTGTTACAGGTTGTACTAAGGGGTTAAAATACAACTTGAATTTTGCATAAT